AAACCCTATAAGCCCCATAAACCCCATAAGCCTTATAAACCCTATAAACACCCTAAACCCTAAACCCCATAAACCCTCTAAACCCGATAAACCTCATAAAACCCATAAGCCCCATTAAACCCTATAACCCCTATAAGCCCTATAAAGCCCTATAAAACCCTGTAATAAACCCTATAAGCCCTACAAGCCCTATAAACCCTGTAAACCCTATAATAAACCCAATAAACCCTAAAAAAAAAAACGTATAATAGCCCTATAAGCCCTAGAAGCCCGAAGGAAGCCAAGATCCGAAGAGGCCCCAATGCCGACTTCGGGGAGAGCAGCGACTCAGAAGACGAGGCAGATGCTACCTAGGTAGGCCTTTGGGACATTTTATATTTTCCCTTATTGAGCTTAGGAGGCTGTCCCAGGTTGAGGTTGAGGGTCAGGGCTGTTTCGGGGGTGGACAGCGGAGGCTGCTGAAGCCTCTAAGCCCCTACCTAAACCCCCAAAAGTACGTAAAGAATTGGCCCAACACCTTTAAGAGGCCATTATTCTACACACTTTGAAGGTCCAGGTAAACCCTGAACCCTCAACGGTAAGCCGGCCATCATCTTCGCTGCGTACCTGGGTCCATATATACGACTTCTACTACGGAATTATAGGTCCCCAGAACCCATATAAGGATGGTCTTTTGAGGCCCAAGTCCATCATGGCAGTGTATATGGACTCTCTGGGCTAGTGAGCACTAACTCGTACATGTTAGCAGCGTTCTCCGCTGCTAGTGTTCTTGCCACGGCTGAGCGCTAGTCAGAGCTAGTGGGCATGGGTGAGAACTGTAGTGAGCACTAGTCAGCGCTAGTGAGCGGTAGTGAGTGCTGCGGGAGTCCCGTTGCTTTGTATGTGTCGAGCCGGACAGAGTTCCAAGGTGGGGTCCCAGCCAACGACCCACCTGGCTGGTAAAGTCTACTTGCCAGCCCCCTAGAGGGGGTCCCTCTAAAATCTCTAAGTCATAGTTCATACTTGTGTCGTCAGCATCTACGATGTGACATGGGCTATTTCGAACGGTGAGAAAAGTCTTGTCTTAACTCCTTGTAGTGCTAGTCGGATGATTCTAGATTCTTGCCAGATCTTCCAGGACTCGTAGCACGCGGACAGGCTACAGCCAGAAGGCAGCCCCTGCATCGGCGGTGCCAGTAGGATTTAGCCGCTAGCCGTGGAGCTTTGATTCAGGTTTTACAGGGCCCTAAACCCTAAACCCTAAACCCTAAACCTTAAACCCTAAACCCCTTTCTATCGGAGCGGGTCTTAGGAAGCACCCCTACAAACTGGCCAAACAAACTCCGAAACCCACAGCCCGGTTTAGGGGTTTAGGGGTTTAGGGTTTAGGGTTTAGGGGTTTAGGGTTTAGGGGTTTAGGGGTTTAGGGGTTTAGTAGGGGTTTAGGGGTTTTAAAGGGGTTTTAACGGGGTTTTAAAGGGGTTTAGGGTTAGTTTAGGAGATCTCGACGTAGGACGCGGGGCCTGCTGAGCCTCGGCAGTTCCGGCACGCTGACCACGAGCGAGAGTGGACGCGGGCAGAGTTCCGTCAGTGGGCCGAGGCCGCGGCCGAGAAGCACGGCCACTTGTTTAAGGTTTGGGGGCTTTAAGGTTTAGGGTCTACAGGGAATATAGGGGTTTATAGGGGTTTGGGGTTTAGGGTTTAGGGCCACTTACTATCGAAGATGTCCTTTGAAGATAGATCCGAAGGAGTTCGGGAAGAGTAGCACAGCACAGGTTTTCGAAGTTTTTGGGGGTCCGGCTAGCGTCTTCATCCCCAAGCGCAAGCACAAACACCTGTACTCCGCACCCCTACAGCGACACGGACCCACACTTCAACACCCAACGAAAAAGCGACGTGCTTGAAGGTAGCTATTGTGCAGGGTTTAGGTTGAGGGCCTTGGGTTTAGGGCACGGGTTTAGGGTTTAGGGTTCAGGAACAGTCAGTATTAAGCAGAAGCTGGTTGAAGACACCGCATGAGCTGGCAAAAGGTCTCCATCCTTGGCCCCATCATTGTGACGGCGACTGTGATAAGCACCGGTTATCCTACAATCGTGACATCCGAACATACTTTAAACCCAATGCATACAAAGGTTGGTTCGGACTCCGGGCCCAAAAGTGCTGAGAGCAAGCCAAGACAGAGCCACTATTGAAACAGAAGGAGTAAGAGGGGCTTGTTCAAGCCTTTCCTGCTTGTTGCTGGGATTCATCCCTGCCTGAGCACAACAAGCAGAAATGGTGCCGAACATGTGGCCACGTTATCCTAAGCCTGAAGCCCCCACAGCCTTGTGAAATCCAATAAACAAACAGAAGCATCCAACAAACATCCGATAAAGCACCCCTAAGAACCAGAGACACGTATTACACCAATCAAGCCCTAAGCTTGGCCCTAAACCCTGAACCCTTAAAGCAAAAAAACCTAAGCTTGGCCCTAAACTCTAAACCCTGAACCCTTAAAACCAAAAAAACCCAAAATAAAAAAAAAATCTCAGAGCCCAAGGCTATTGGATCTCTGAGTTCGACGGCGTGGGATACCTTCCGGACCAGGAAGCCCAAGGCTCGATCCGGTCGTCAGTTAGGGCTTATAGGGCTTATAGGGTTTAAGTTTAGG